GTTACCAAGTGTACGAGTACAGTAATTTCTCCCTAATTTGCGCTCAGATTTCGCATAAAAATGGACAATTTTGGGAAGAGGAGATACAATTATTGGGTTGGCAACTAAGTAATTGCCGATTTCAGTTATAGACGTCTCTCGCTCCCACATTTTTATGATATCCGCAAATGTTATATTATAAAATTATTATTATTATTATTATTATTTTGTTACCAAGTGTACGAGTACAGTAATTTCTCCCTAATTTGCGCTCAGATTTCGCATAAAAATGGACAATTTTGGGAAGAGGAGATACAATTATTGGGTTGGCAACTAAGTAATTGCCGATTTCAGTTATAGACGTCTCTCGCTCCCACATTTTTATGATATCCGTAAATGTTATATTATAAAATTATTATTATTATTATTATTATTATCATGTTACCAAGTGTACGAGTACAGTAATTTCTCCCTAATTTGCGCTCAGATTTCGCATAAAAATGGACAATTTTGGGAAGAGGAGATACAATTAAATAGATTCTATGGCTGGAAATAAGATGAAGACAAAGATCTTACGACGAGACTTGGTTTTTGAGAAGATTAAATTTAAATATCAATCTAGTATAAGCTTCCTTGATACTTATTTAATTAATCGTTTATTTAACTGATGGCACAGATCGCACTGCAGACCACTATTGCGACCGGCTTCGATTTGGCTTGATTTTTTATTCCAGCACCATGGAATTATCACCGATAAAGATACTCTCGCGTGGCAAGTCTGAGGATAAATCACGGGCCAATGGGGTTAAGTAAATTACTTGGGTTTTATGGGGACGTTTATGGGCGACGGTTCAGCGTGTTAAACAATTCGTGGAAGAAATAAATAATAAAACTCTGAGGATTAAAAGATGAATGAACGCCGAGGAAAGAAGAAGGTCGAAGAGGGAGGAAAAAGCGAGTGACAGAGAGAAAACGTGGTGGGAGGCGAGGGAGAGGGTAAACGGGAGAGCACAAAGACAAGGAATTTAGCCGGGTTTTTATTTTGATCGTCTTTTTCGCGGCACAATCCGATGCTACGGATGGAAAAAGAATTTCTCGAGCGCGCGGTAGAGAACAGAATGGCGGGACACGGGCCCGGGGATAGCGAAAAGACGAAAAAAGAGTTAATCGATCGAATTCCACGATTTTCGTCGATATTCCCGAATCGTTCGCGTGCGTCAGAGCGTTCTGCAAGAAGTTAAAAGGAACTTTCGTATAAAAGGAGGAGAGACTGTACGGTAGCGGGAGAAATTCCAGCAACGTTTCGTGTCCCCGAAGAGTTATGGCTCGGGGGACACGAAGAAACACGGCATGCATTTGCGAGTAACCGTATAATAGAGCCGCATTGTAGCGATGCCAAATAATTTTCGGGGGGGGGGGGGTCAAGCCGAAATTTTCGAAACACAGAAATTGCATCTGAATCAAGCCGGAAGTGGCAGCCGTGAACTCGCCCATGGAGACATAATGGAAGCGTACCCGAAAGAAAATTGCTCCGTGTTTGCTATGAAACCGTGCCGTATCGCGTGTGTGCAACGGGATCTCGAAAATTGTCTCTTCTCTACTGTACTTTTACTGTGCTTTTTCTGGAAGAATCGACGGGAACGTTTCTTTTATCGACGCCAATAAAACATGCGGAACTCTATGGCTCGCAGGGCTCTTTTTATCTTAAAAGTTCGCCGAATTGGGTCAACGGAAGGATTCTTTTCGAGCAAGGCCAATTAAAAGTTGCGTATCAAACCTATAACCGAGGTTGAGGGGGAGATCCGAACTTCACGATTCTGAATTAGGATCGAAGTTATACACGAGTGCTTTGCCGGATCACTCTGTTGGTTCTAGGTTCTTCAACATTTTGCGAAATAAAAAATAAAAATGATCATAAGGCACGCGCATCATAATTAAATTAGCTCTTCGTTTACTGAAATTTTTATATCTGTGATATTTAACGTGGCGTGACTGTTTAACGTTCGAATTTATTGTTCCCGTAATTTTTCGTGTATTTATTGTAATTTAAATTCGAGGTGTTGAACTGCAAATATGTTATGACGAATTAATATATTTCTTTTTGAAAAAGAAATCTATCTTTAATAATCGTCATTATTTATTTCACTTTTAATAGATGTTAACAGATGATTCTATATTTATATTATACTGTAAAAATATATGCTTCATTGGGATCATTAATTAAGATACTAAAGCACAATCGAAAAATTCGTGATGCTTTCGAATCCTTTAGAAAAAAAAAGATAGCGAGAAGCCTAGAATCTTTTTCCTTTGAAACCCTCGTTTTCGACGAAAACCAATTTCAAAACTGGTACGGCGGCGTCAGGAGGTTATTCCACGTGTTGGAACAGATACAAAAAAATGCAGAATAATATTTTTTCGTTTGAAACGTTGTTTTCGAGGAAATCTCATTTGAATATTTGTCGAATACAGCTGTGTTTGCGTAAATCTTCGCTGAACATGCTCGAACTCGATTTTTCAACTTCAGAAAATGGAATTTCGAAAATGAGAATTCCATTGCACGTTTACATATTTTTCTGTATCGATCAACTTCGCAGCAATTTTTGAGAATCAACAAATCCTTAAAACGTTATTGTGACATTAATTATACCGACGTTTATCTGCATGAAATGAAAGTAGACATACAGAATGCAGATATTAATAATATAATAATAATCTCTCTCTCTCTCTCTCTCTCTCTCTCTCTCTCTCTATATATATATATATATATATAATATAATTTTATTATAGAGATATAATATCAGAGATATAATATAATTTTTATAGAGATATTAATTTATAGAGATATAATATAATTTTATTATAGAGAGATTAAAATTATTTTCGAAATAATGTCTAACTAAAACATCTCATTAAATACGCGTCCCATTCGTAGTAATTCTTCCGAATTTTGTCTACACTCATCGCGTAGTAAATTAGTTGTTCTAATATCTAAAAAAAAAAGTTTCAGTCACGAATCTAACCAGTTTCGAACGCAAGCGATTAATTACAGTGAAATCGACCATTTCGAATTTCGTCCAGCCAGATCGGTTGTTCGCACAGAGCGTTCAACGACCGGGTGCGCGGGAAAATGGGGATGAAAAATGGTTGAGCGATATCAGGGGGGCTCCTGCACGGGGTTCCCGTGGAGTTTATATGGGATGGTTATTTATGCGGGCCTTTCCCGATTTACTTTCAGTTCGGAGATTGGGTACGCTGGTTCGCCGCCAAGGGAGGTGCTCACGAGGGGCAGGAGCATAGACTCCGTGGACAGGCCTTTTCATCCGAGCGACTGGGTTGACGTGAACCTCGAAGTACCGAGCACACCGAGGCCGAGCTCGGCCCTCACGAATTTAACCGTCGACACGAGCCTCTATCCAGCCACCACGCCGACGTCCAGCTGTAAGCTCACAATTTATCGTTAGCTCGTACTGCAAGCTGTATCCTTAACGAGAACATGCCTCGCCGCGACGTGCCAGCTGATAAGGACCCGGCCGTGATACTCGCGCGAGCCACCACCGTCGGAATATCTCCTCCCCCCTCCCCGGTATTTGTCCGTGTTTTGTAAATAAGCGGTTGCCACGGCTTTAGCGGACGAAAAAAAAGACGAGCCGTTGAAAACGCGGATGGATCGTCAACGCGCCGGAAAACTTTCGAGTTGACGCGGCTGCGTATCTATGGTGCTGAACATGGTGGAACTTTTGTGACACGAACACCTGCGTGTTCAATTTTTCAACATTTTTGGCGTTTCTATGGATTTTGACGGTTTTCTTTTTTCAGCGTAGCTCCTATTATAAAATGACTATACAAGGTGTCCCATAATTATGTTAGCGCCCGAAAAGGGGTGATTCCTGAAGGCATTTGATGTAACTCTTTCCTTAGCGAAAATGCAATCCGCGGCTTCGTTTACAAGTTATTAAAGGAAAACACCGACCAATGAGAGGCCAGATCAGCTGGCGCGAGGCTACCGAGCCAATAAGCGGAACTTATCGGGCTTCTTTTCGTTAATAACTCGTCAACAAAGCTGCGAATTGCATTTTCGCTAAGGAAAAAGTTACTTCGAATCACCTCAGGAATTTTGGACATTTTTGGGACACTCTGTATGTATAGATGTTTATACTGTAAAAACTACACTGTACTAACATTAGGGTTCAGCACTGTATGTCTTCAATTGGCACGTTTCCTCGTAGGCGAAACGCGAGACCGCAACCCCATTAGATTATTATATCCGTCGACTACGTGTTTCGTATAATTGCTGCACGAAATAGGCCGTTGAGCGACATTTTTGGCAAGCACGTGCGTCCATGATGCCTTTTCCTTCGGGTTTAGGGGTAGAGAATTGGGTCAATTTTAAGAATTTGTTACCGGGAAGCTGAACGACGTGGAAAACTAGCTTCAACGTCGCAAACAAATTTATGATACGTATTACGTTTAAAGATATTTATTATAAACATGTCTAAAGCTAATGACAATTAAATAGTCTCGATATTTAATAGATGCTGTTTAACCTTATGTGCTGTGCCATTTTCTCCACGGTTATTCCGATTAGAAGTTTTTCGATTGTAATAATTTCTTGGAAGAAACGAGAAAAACCTGTATTCATTTTGTGTTTATATTTCACACTAAACCTACCGCGTGCCGATCATTTTCACCGGTTTCACTTTTTTAATATTAACATTGTTGACGCTATAAAGACCTTTTTTTCATAGGTTATGATCACTTTTATTGTTTGCTTATAGATTTAGCGTTAAGGTATTTCGGTTATATTGTTGTGAATATAGGCGAATCCAAGCCCGTATTTAATGTATTAATATATATTATAAATATTATATTATAATATATAATATAATATATATTATAAATATTATATTATAATATATAATATTTATAATATATAATATATAATATTATAATATATATAATATTTATAATATATAATATATAATATTATAATTATATTATAATATATAATATTATAAATATTATATATTATAAGTAAAATTTGTTAATGTGGGGTAAGAGAATTTTAATCCGATTTCAAAGAACGGAATAATGTTCATATTTAACAGGTTATTACAAGCGATCTCCATCGAGTGGAAAGCTTGATGTACACAATGTTAATCGGGGTCCAGGTTCCGAATAATTAGGGTAGATCGACTTTAAACTAAGATTCTGGTTTAGGAGACCTCACGTAGAGCGCTTCAAACTCCCAATACTTGATGTAGACACTGTCAAACACACAAGCCGCGTTGTTCAACACAACCCTAGTCCTCGAAGCCTAATCGACAGATTATTAGCATCGCACCGGATCCGATCATAGCCAGGACTGTCTAAAATGTGTTTGGGAATTTGCCGAGCAAGCTTCGCTTGTCAAAGCAAAATCTACTTACACCGGTAAATTACTTCTCTTTATAGTTGCAAATATAATTTGTCAATTTTATAAGACGAGACGCAACAGCCACGTTTAGCAATTCCATAGGTTCAATATCAGTCAATATCAGTCACTGATTCAGCATCAGTCTAGTAAATTCAAAATATTATATCAATATTTATATTATTATAATGTGATATATATGATATGATAATATCATGGACTGATTCAGCAATCGACGTAGAGATTTTTCATTCTGCATAAAGATCCGCAACAAATACTAATTAGTTTTATAGTTATATTAATTATTTATTATATTATATTATACTATTATATATTATTATATATATTATTATATTATATTATATTATATTATATTATATTATATTATATTATATTATATTATATTATATTATACTATATTATACTATATTATATTATATTATATTATTATATATATTATATTATACTTAATCGACGTTCCTCATTGGTGGATTGATTCGTCAATTGTCTGAACAGGTTCGAATCTGAAAGAATCGGCGCCGGTTCCTCCACCGCGTCGGAAGAAGCGGAACAAAGGCAGACCGTTGCCTCCGAAGCCGGACGAGGTCACCGAAAGCACAGCCGCGAATTTGAAACGTTCCGAGACAGGGGACGAGCCTTTGTACTCGTCGGTGAAATCGCCGAAAAGCAGCGGAGACGAGCAGGATGCCGATGAGGAGATCAAACTTGACAAACATCGGGATGGAAGAAAGACGAAGGAGATTTATGAACACAAGGCAAGTGGAACAACGTTCGTTGTCGTCGTCGGCGGCGGCGGAGGCCGGTATTTCCATTGTAAATTCGCATTCGATATTCACGAGAATATTTACTCTCGTGTAAAACGCGCCCCGATTAGGCAAATATAAGCTACGCCCGCGAGACCGAATCTGTGAAACAAATATCCGCGACATTAAAAACGTATTTACGAATCCGCAGCCGCGCCGCGCGCGAACGCCGACGCGAAATTGGTGTTCGTTATGCGACTGCTCGCGGAAAAATCGGATTAGTATTGTCGTTTGGGCGTCGATTCTTCTTATTGCTCGACGATGTCTTCGGTAAAGGTTGCTAATTAGGTTGCTAATAGGTTGATAATTTTCGAACCTTACCCGTTGCCGATTATTTCGATCAGTTTCGCATTTTATATTTGGGGATCGATGATATTGTGAAGATTTCTTTTTTTTGTAAGAAATGATTGAACAGACTTTTCAATTCGAGTATACGATATAATAAAAACGATGAAATGTCCATATAAATTCCGTCGTGATAGCTTCATGGAACAAGATAAGCCTATCGTGCTTATTGTTTGGTAGGTTTAGCCTTAACGCTCTGTTTTGTGGCTAGTTCGACTGGTTTGTGAACAGTTTCTGGATATTAATCGAGTGGAATTAGTGATTAGAATTAGTTGCTTGAGTGACATTTTCGAAAGTTTTGACTGATGTCTTCAAGTGTAATCTATGCATGCCGAAATGTTAAAGAGGAGCGAAATACATTCTAAAGTTACTATAAAGTAACTGAATGCTAAATTATTTTCACAATAAATTTGGTCAATAAACAATACATATGCCGGTAAACGGTAACTTTTTGTCACAACGATGAAAATGTGATATAGACAACTATGATCCTCTCCCATACAATTTGAATTTTATTTATTGAGGTGTATAGAAAAAGTAATGTGTCTACAAGGAATACGTTAAAAAATATCTTGAAAAAATTGATAATTTAAATGATAAATGATCCTGAACAGACTGAGTTCCGAATAAGATTTCATTCGAATGAAAATTCATGCGAATATGAAGTAATTTGTTACTCGAATGAAAATGTATTTTTACAGGATATATTTGTTACGAATAAACGAACAGTTGTTATTCGAATAAAATATACGATTAAAAAGAGTTCATTTGAATAATGATTTATTATTTTTAAAATAAAACTCTGTGTTGAAGTGTATTCGCCGAACGACAAACATTCGTTTTTCTTTCTTTTTTCATATAGGAATGGATAATTAATTTAAAATCAGCAGCTTGCATACATTACTTACTAAAATCTACTATAGAATATTTACTACAAAATATAATATAATATATATAAATATATAATATATTATGAAAATTATATTATATAATAAATAAATAATAAAATAATAATAAATATATATAATATATATAATATATAAATATAATATAATTTTCAAAGCGCGAATGTCCGGAACAGTGTAGAAGGGTTGAGCGTTGTCGGAAACGATTCCGGAAAGTTGCGACGTTTCGCACCGAAGAAAGGCAATGTTGATAGATGTTCCGCTTAATAGACTGTTTACCAGCTGTTTAAACATTGTGCAACGTTCGCTCGTTCGTCCGTTCGATCGTTGCCTGCTGTTCAACTATTACGTTGCACCCCGTCGCGGCGCCGCGCCGGCGCGGCCGCGTTGAATTCGACCGGCGCGGCGCTGGAACGGAACCGAGGAAATGCATTTCTATGCAAATTGCTCGGCGCATCCAGCGAGGTTTTCGTGCTCCGGTCTGGATTAAGGAAGAGGATATTGTTAAATAAATAATTGTTAATTCCAAGACAATTACGCCCTAGTTGACAGGTTCTGCGATGCTCTATGGGCTCATTAACTTTGAATCGAATGGAATTTCCTCGTAGAACGTGTAGTCATCGAATAGAAACGAGTAATCAAACATTCCGAGTGATTGGTAATTATGATGAATTAACAAACTTAAATAGCTTCGATAATTCCTCGACCATTGTTGCTTCCGACAAGTGCTTTCGGAGACACATTTTGTAAACACAGACGCCAGAAAGTTTTAAACAGCCTCTGAATATCTTGTTGAAATTCCTGAATATTCTACGCGAACTTTATAATTATTGGACGGCTTTTATGCGTTTATTATAGAAACGTCTAATAATTATTTAGCAAGTCGCTATCCTCTCTAAATTCTGAGCTCCCTTTTTCAATGGAGGAAATGCTAGAAGGAATTGAACAAAATGATTCAACATTATAAACTCCATCAGTTTCCTCAGAAGTAATTCTGAACTTTGTTTAGGACTTGTTTACGCTTACACGTCGGAGGATGATTCAATTCAGAGAGACACAACTAGAATATTTATAAATATTTGGAACACATGTCTTTTACCTTTTAAGCAAAATTACAATATTCTATATGCTTAATATAGTTTCAAATTTAATTCCACTTAATTGTTTTCACTGACTTAAAACGCGAGAAAATGGATACAGTTATCATTTTACCGTTGAACAGCTGTAAGCCAGCAACATCACGTTGACAATAATTATTATAAAACGATTTGTCCGTTGCTCATAAAAATTATTGTTCTATGTTACTAAGAGTTAATCGCCTTGCTAATTATTTTCTTTCGAAATTTAATCACATGCTTGAATAATATAACATGTGGAAGAATATATGCGTTCATATAACTAAGAATATAGGTGAATTCTCCCTAATTTTCCTTCAGTTTGTAAACAAAAATGGACAATTTTGGGAGAGGAGATACGATTATTCGAGCCTCGCGGTTCATTTTTATATTGCCAACAATTATAGAAACGAGGCGCAAGACTCGAATAAATCGTATCTATATTAAATATGTCTACAATAAATCTATAATGTCTATAATAAATCGTCCATTTTTGTTTAGAGGCTGAAGGAAAATTAGGAAGAATCTATTGTATTCTACAGCAGTTTATATTATATAATAATGGTATAATTAATAATTATACCATTATAATCAATAATAATTATGTATTCGCACATCCGAGGCGGAACATTAATTCGTTCGCATAAACAAGGCGCGGATGACACGAGTAGTGTCCAATGCACTTTATGATCTGTTCTAACGAATGAAACGGTTTTCACGAGCAGGTTAACGGGACCGGGAAGATAATATCCAGCGACATGGTGTCTGGCAAGAGGACATCGTACGCCGACGACAGGAAAATCGGCAAGACCGAGATCAACCAGAATCATCGGAAGGCTCACGAGACCGACGAGTACGAGAGGTTCGCGAGAACCAGGACAAGCAAGGACTCGTCGACGCCTAATCGGGAGGACAAAAGGGGCCGGCTGGAGCCCGAGAAACAGATCAAGGATACCTCGAGGGACGCCGAGAGATCGAACGGTCACGCGAGGACCAAGAACTACAGCACTGTCAGCCTGCCAAATTACGACGAGCTGGACGTGGCCAGGCATCAAACGAAGGGGATGAATGAACAGCATCCTGCCGGGGACAGAACAAAGTCTCGGAGACCCGTCAGGAGCAGCACCGGCTCGCTTCCGGCCGAATCCTTTCTCGCGCCCTTCTCCGAGGTATGCGATCCTCGCTTTTTTTTTGTTCGTTTTCGCCTACTCGAAAATTCGGGGAACAGAGAGTTATATTTCTTCAGCTGGCATTTACTTGGCGTCTCGATTTTGCTCGCGACGCGTTTTTCTTCGTATTTCATGGTAGATACCAAGACCTGACAAGCAAGTACCTCAAATTGAGCCGTTTATTTTGGAAGTGGCATAAGTCACTTTGTTTTTAAGTCGTTATATTTAAGGGTTCGCGTTTTAAAAATATGGATGCTAACTTTCGAGAAGATTTACTTGTATTTGTTATCTCGGGATACTGATACTTTTCTCAGTATAAATAATTTCCATATAAACATTAAAAAATCACCACTTTTCATTACGGTAAAGTGACTTATACCACTTTCAAAATAAACGGCTCAATTGTAGACAGTAAAATTGTAGAAAGTTAACGATTCGACTGCCACGTAAACAATCTGAATGGTTTAACAAGATTTAAGTATTTATATGAACAAATTACAATTTGAACGGTGAGTCGTATCGCATTAATTATTTTCTTCATCATTCTTACGTTTCCCGGATCCTAATTGAATTAAGAATAAGTAAATAGATTAACGTAAAAATTAATTTTGGAAATCTGAGCAAGTACAATAAATTCTACTCGATTGTCCTTCAGCTTGTAAACGAGAATGGACAATTTGGGAAGAGGAGATACAATTATTTAAATAATTTATAATATATATTATATAATATATATAATAATAATTTAAATAATTGTTTACAAAAATGTACTGTATTTCATTTCCAAATTTTGTATTCGTTTATTTTATCCAGTTTCGCATAAGCATAAATTTCACATGTCTTATTCGATAAATATAAAATTAACTTAACTATAAATCAAATCAAAGGCACATCAATTGGTCGCCCCACAGTAATCGGCTCCACTACCCTATCATCTACAACTAAAATCATTTGAATAAAAAATAATAATCGTTACACAAGGACCCCTTTCGTGCGGACTATAACAATTATGGTTATCCCTGGTAATAAGGTCAAGGTCGTAGGTGCTAAAAAATATCAGTTTCCGTGAAAGCCACGATGTGCCCAGGGATCGCGTTCAGCGAACCCACAAAGACCGTCTATGAGAAACGGCTCGGGCTGCAAACGGTCCCGGTATATGCACCCGGAGTCGGAAGTCCTGGCGAAAGGATTAATCCGCCGTAAGAAGCCTGATCGCGCACGGATATATACGACGAATTTATTCTAATCCCCAGAAAACGAGCGTGCGACTCGAGGACTACATACCGAGCCGCGGCAGCCCCGATAACCTATCGCAGGAGCTGGACCTGGAGAAACTCGAGTGCGGGGGCGAGCCGGTGGTCGAGGTCGGGTTCCTGAAGTACGACCCGAGTAAATCGGAGGATTGGGAACTCGGCGGTGGCATCGGTAATTGCGAATTGAGTCACCAGCCCCGACTCTCGGTCGAGGTAAGCGATCCATCTCTGTTCCCCCTGTGTTTCTTACACCGAGGAAAATAACTCTGCTAAAAACGGATCCCCTGCCGTCGCCATTTCGTCTGTCCTGAAATACCCAATTTGATTCCAATTCGTCTCTGATTAACCCTTCTACACAGTGTTTCAGGTCTGCACGAGTCGGACCGTGTATTAGGCTTATTACGTAACTGCTTCGATTGTAATCTTGTCGGAGAGTTTCTTGAATTGTGCAAACAAATTTCTGCTCGCTTTTATATCTTCATACCAGTTGTTTATATTATTATTAGTTCATACCAGTTATCTTCATACCAGTTATTTATGTTAATATATTAGTATATTATCCTTTCGTACAACAAGCTTGAAACATTGCACTGTAAGTGGGAGAGAATACGCTATAATGATAAATCGAAGTCGAATTCTTCGACATTTGTCTCGCGAGATAACAGTGAATTATACAGGCTGTCCATAAATTATGGTACTTTCGGGAAATGAGGGATTCCTGAGATGGAATCCTACGGAAATGGCGGGTTCCTCGGATCATTTGAAGCGACTTCTTCCTTTACAAAAATGTTCTCCGAGACACCGTTAACGAGTTATTAACGAAAAACAGTGACCAATGAGAATCGAGTACGGCTGACGCGAGGCGGCCCAGCCAAGCAGCGCGCAAAGCCCAGTTCCGCTCGTTGGCTAGGTCGCCTCGCGCCAGCCGAGCTCGCCTCTCATTGGTCACTGTTTTTCGTTAATAACTCGTTAACGGTGCCTCGGAGAACATTTTTGTAAAGGAAAAAGTTGCTTCGAATGGCCCGAGGAACCCGCCACTTTGGGATTGCGAGACATTTTTGGGACACCCTGTATATACAGTATACATATACAGTAGTACATATCAGACTCTGCTGTCCAGAGAAATAGCCTCGCGCAGAATTCAGCCGTACCTAAAAGGGTTTAAAACTTTCCGGACAATCCAGTATTTACGGCGTCGCGTCGTTCGAATGATCACGTCGCGTTATCGTTAGCGCGCCACTTGGGGAATACGCGAATTAAAATGGATCGGTGCCCCTGTCGAGAGGCAAGAGAGTGAAGGACTTTCTTTGTCAGGATCCCCGGCGGATCGGCAACGGTAACGACTCCGGCGAGGACGAGGACGTCATCGATTTTGGACGAAGATCGCCGGCCGATCCTGAGGACGTCCTATCGCCGGTGTATATGCAGAAGCCCGAGTCCTTTGGAAAAACACCGTCCCCGGCAGTTGGCGAGCCCGAATATTCTGAAGTGGATCCAAATAGGTCGGTAGAGATAATCCACGGTCGGTGTTCGGGAGATTAACTGGATTTAATTGGGCCGCGCCGATGCCAAGTGGTGTAAGCCCATATTCTGATGCTTAGGGTGATATCCTAGCCGGAAGAATTTTTATTTAAATATGCCGCGCAATTTATAGCACCCCCTTTCAACCCTTAACGATCGAAAGAACCTGCTGCGGGGACACGCGGCAATGTTTGTCGAAATCAGAAGGCTCCGCTACGGAGGAATATGTGCCGGTAATTTTGAAAGTTGTGCGAGTCATATACAGGGTGTTCCATAATTATGTTAACACCCGGGAAGGGGTGATTCTTGAGGTAATTTGAAGCAACTTTTTCCTTAGCGAAAATGCAATTCACGGCTTTGTTTACGAGTTATTAACGAAAATCAGCGACCAACGAGAGGCGAGATCAGCTGGCGCGAGGCGGCCGAGCCATTGACTGTTGCTTTGCGCCAGTCGAGCTCGCCTCTCTCATTGGTCAGCGTTTTTCATTAATAACTCGTAAACAAAGCCGCAGATCGCATCTTCGCTAAGGAGAAAGTTACTTAAAATGACCTCAAGAATGACCTTTGTTGTTGATATAATGGGACACAAATTCGCCTCTTCGCGATAACTCCTCTTGCGCTTCACTTTCTTATATAGTAGATTCGAAATATTTACGGCAAATGTTTCTAAATAGATCGAATAAAATTTGCTTCATTATAGAAAAGATTTTCTGAAGTTTCTAAATTTAACTTTTTGTGCTGTCTTTGGACTCTTATTACCTGATACGATTTCACCGGTATCGTCGCGAGTATCAAATTCCAAAGAATTTTATGAACATTGTATTCTATTTCCGAATATTTTCGAACACACATTTGTCCTCGGTTGCGCGTGTTTGTCGTCTTCATCGTTTTTTCTAGTTCAGGTGAATGCATTGTTTCCATAGGACTCACTTGAGGTACTTTAAACCACCCACGCTCGAGGACAGCTGCAGAAATTCGACCGCCTGTGAGACTTCCGCTTCCAAAGAGCCGTTTTACCTGGACGAGGCGAAACATCGTTCAGCTCTCGGTAAATAGATCCGAAAGTCGGAATGCCTCGATGCTCTCGTCGCCGTTGACGTTTCCCTTCGTTCTCGGCTCTCAGACCACCGTTTCACCTTGAATAACATTGTTGCAATTCTGCAGCGTCTTCGTTGCATTGTCTTCGACGTTTCTTCGCTCTCCCTTCGTCGACTTTAATTCGACGAAATCCGCGAAATCGATTAACGCGAAACTTACCGAGCCCTAAACGTGGCTGGCGTGTTTTATCTGATAATAATTGCAACGATATCGAATTTCTTTAGACTTCTCTCACAATTTTTATTACAAGATCACGAAATATATATTCGATCCTTTTCTAAAGGATATAATTTCAACAATTGAATTCATAATTTCAACAATTTTAGAAGAAAACATTTGGAATCGATCATTTTGAACGGCTCGGTAGATTTGGTGTTAATTTGTTCTCCCTTTTTTTAAATAACATTTCTTTATTGAGACAACATTTCGTAAATACCAAGTATCCGCGATATAATTATCACGAATTGATACAATAGTTTTAATCCTTTGCACTCGAAGCCACTTTAACTGTAAATCTAAAATAATTTTTCTGTCTCTATTTTATGTGACAGAGCGCATTTTACGCGTGCGAAAATGAATCTTGCTATACATGAATCTTGTTATACTTTCAACAATTTTTCACATCTAAATTTTGTCGATGTAAGAATTATTTTGGAACGTGACATAAACAATTTTTAGCGGTGCCTCGGAGTCACCACTCCAGCGCAAAGGGTCAACTATTAAGAATAGGAAATTATGTTCTCGATCTAAATCGTAAGGAAGACAACGAAAATCCGTCACTTTCGGTTACGTAGACTTTCGCGTTCAAGCTGTGTCAAGGATTCCATCATAAATACGTCGGACGGATCCACTATATTCGCATCGTATAATCCTTTTTAACGTTTCCCGGGGCACTTTTTACAACGTTCAGCTTCTATAACTTCGGCGTGATATGTTCTTGTTGCACGAGCTAAACTAGACATTCACTTCCACCGCGCGAACTTACCTTTTTTGCTGTTTATATACCACGCGAACATCTTATTTTCACTATGATTAATTATTCCATCCAGCTAAGTATACCTGTGTGGTTCGGTCCTTGCAACTGGAACAGCTCGCGCCACTTTTCTCGTCAGAATTTAAGAAACCATGCTTGGGAACGCATGAAATATTTCGAAGCAAACCATTACTGAACGTGAAAATTCTTTATGCAATAAAAATGTATGTCTCCGTGTTTTTATTATTTTATCCTGACTCCGGTATACCAGTCGCTTTCGCGAAATTCGTTGTTAAATCTTAAATATTCGAATCTTGTAGCAATAAAGATCAAAATTCGATGGAATATTATTTGAAGCTTTGCGATGCGCTCATAGTTAATGATTTTGTAGGTCGCATTTACATTTTACTCTCCAAATTTTCTCTCCTTTCGTAGATCATGTTCGCTCGTTTGCAAACAAAAATTGTCCCCCTTCCAGGTATTATTCACCCTTTTGCAAATCAAATTAATCCTTATACAAATCAAAATTGGTCACCGTTCGTTCTATTATTAAACTTAACATGAATTTATGGTTATTTGTAAAATAATACTAATTTCATTACAAGTAATTAATCTTCGACAATTGTTGGCATAATGCCATTGAGTTTTTAAATACAGTACGAGTTTTATTACCAATAATTACGAACAAGCGAATTTAATTTGCGAAAGACTGAATAAATCGCTTTACAAAAATATAAATATATTCTACAAAAGGATCGATTCATCTACGAAAAAATATGTAAAAAATAAAATACGCGTAAAAGGATTAATTTCGTGTGCAAAACCTCTGCCAGTCGAGAGTCGAGCCGTTTATTTTGAAAGTGGCATAAGACACCTTTTTTTCTTTTTTTTTTTTAAATAAAAAGATACCGTTCAATTGTAATTAGTGTTAACATTAACTCGATTTTTCTGAAAAATTGACTCATGCCACTTTCAAAATAAACGGCTCAGTTAATAGAAAAATACGGGCAGAAAAAAAGGAAACGATAGCATCGCACAAGAAAGTACACGCTTTAGAATATTTTCTGTGTCGCCGTTCTCGTCCGTCGCTTCCGAGCTTTTCCTCGATCGCTACACGATCGCTCATAAATCCCGAGTCGGTCCTAGAGGAGTGAAATTAGGCGGTGGCCGATGGTTGCAGTATGGCAACGCGACGGGTAGGATATCCCGTGAGGGGTTCGCTTCTGACACGGGTAATCGTCCCGGCCGAGCAGAAAGGACCCAACTATCCCTGTACGTGACTAGTTAAACCGCGGACGTTCCATTCCGCAGATACGATCGGAGGCAGCCACGGGGGCAAGCTGGAGGCGGATCGATCGGACCAGCCCGGGATGATCTTCCGGAGTAGCCTGACGACGGAGAGCGAGCCGGAGGAGGACGCGTACGAGCCCAAGGAGCTGTCGGGCCGTCCGGCGAGCCTGATCAGGACGATCTCCGAAGAGTCGTTGCCGCGGGAGATGCTGGAGCAGCAGGAATTAGAGGACTTCTTCGACGAGAAGCTGGCGAAGGACACGCACAACAAGCTTAGGAAGAACCTGGACCGGACGACGATCACGCCGCCGCCAAGTCCCGAGCCGAGGATCAAGCCGGAGCTGCTGGAGAACGATCATTCGACGCTGCTGAAGGTGCTCAAAGATGAAACCGCGGAGGAGAGCAACCTGAGCTCGATGACGCCCAGCTTGACCGAGCTGGAGGCCGCGCTGTCCGACATGCTGGAGAAAGAGGAGCCCCAGGAGCTCCTGAAAGACGACGCCAGGACGGAGAACTGGCCGACGAAGCAGCTCGTTCGGGACTCGAAGATCGACGATGCGAAAATAAACCGGAACCCGTCGGTCGACGTCGCGGATCATCCAGTCCAGGGATCCACGGACCAAGCTCCCGTGTCTCTCGGACAGATCCTGGAGAACAGGAAGCCGATTACCAGCAGGAAGGTCTCGTTCTGCGCCTGGGAGGAGACGCTGCTGGAGACGGATGATCGGGACGATCGGGAATTCACTGAACGTCCGACGGATTTAGATAAGAACACCGTTTCTCATCGGAACGGGGGCCGCCGCGGGGACACCGGGGAGGAGGAGGCGACGCCGTGTCCCAACGACCAACCGCCCGAGAAGCCCACCAGGCTGAACAGGAGCCTCGAGGACTTGATGGAGGACACGGAAAACGTACCCACCCCGCCCCGCAGGAGACACAGGAGCCTAGGGAAGAGGGAGGAGGAAATCGCACGAAATGGCTCCGCGGTGGCCGAAGCTTACCCCAACGACAGACTCATCTGATCGCGTTCTACCAAGAGCCCCGTCCTCCGAGCACTCTAGACGCTGGGTCCCGGTCTCGCCGAAATTTTCAACACAGTTTTCGAGCGTCGCTCCGCGATCCTCGGGATCCACGGATCGTTCTGGCGACCGGGGAATACGTTACTTAGAGCACCAAGGTCGACTTCTTCGATCCTGATGAACACTTGCGCGCCTTCGTTGCGCGCTCCCGACCGTGCTTATTCATCGTCGGACCGCAGAACTTTGTGCGAAATAAACATTGTCTGCGTTGATTGCCGATAGAATTTTTCACGAGGTTGAAAACGAATACGTTTGTCCTCGGTCTGTTTGTTGTTCACGACTGTGCGGGATTGCGCGGTTGAACGGAGAGGAGGCGATCGATTTTGGTTATTGTTTTTGTCGTTGTGCTGGTACGTGTTACCTGACAATGTATTTTATTTGTTGCTACGTGTGAGTCAGTCGTTAAGGTCCTTTGTACAGCCTACCGTTGTCATTGTTTCGCGCGGCTTTTGGTCGAAAGCTAACGTTTGCAATAATTGGAATTTCGACGAGCTAAGATACAGAGCGTGAACAATTTTATTTGCTTCCGTAGAGGATACGGAGAATCGAGAGCTAATTAAAATCGAGAAGAAGACAATGAGAAAAGCGACGATCGCGTAGGCTTGCAAGGACTTGTGACGCGCAGGAGCTTCCGGAGGAAAAGAAAATTAGAGGTGAAATATATTAATTTAAATAAGATAACGTCCAGGCTTTCTGTTCGTCGAACGAGTTTTTACTTAATGTACTTGCAATTTTCGAGGTTTTACATAAGATTGGAAGGAAGCTCTCGCTCGTGTCTCCGTTGCATCGGTCGCGAGAGCTTCGTTATGATCTCCATTTTGTCTCACTACCTCTTCATCGTTCCATCCTTGATCGTCGTATGATAGAGATTTTTGAATAATACGCACAGTAACCAACAGATACGGTTATCGAAATCCGCAAGAAGAAACGAAAAATAAATTATTCCACGCTATCCAAGTACGAGGCTGCCACGTTGCAACCTCTAAATAACCTTCCCGGACGCCATTGTAAGGAACTAACGTTTCGTGTAAGAAGAGTATAATTTCACGAACTAAATACAGTATTTCACGAGGCACAGTATGCATTTACGCAATTCCCACTTCGCAGTATCCAGCTGCATTGTTTTAATCATGAATTTAAATACGGATACACCGTAGACGTGCGCCGTTGATTCACGTTTTAATAGAACTGGAGTAAAGCAGGGTGATCCGAATTTCAAGCATTTCTATTTCCTGCATACTAAGCGTTTCTGCTTTGAAATTATTAAAATTCTACGAGCCAAGCGAGCTTAGATATTTTTCAAACATTAATGCGATTTAGACTATCGTAAAGCTAGCCGAAATTATTCGAAAGAGCGGACAAAATCCAATTTTAAGACAAAGAAGAAAACCGCAATTTTGTTACAATGTTCGGATATAAAACAAAAATGTAATTAAATTCATTTCAATGTCAATGTTTTATTTCGAACGAAGAAATTTCTCTTCTCGGGTAAAAAATTATTTAATCGATCGAAAAATACGAATCTTCTGTTCCGGCGTTGCATCTACAAACACGAATGCCAGTGAGAGACGAAACTTGAGCCGGTTTTTAAGCCGCTGTAATTTTTATGTTCTTCAGTTTGAACAGCTAACATACAATTCTGGACGAGTGTGGGACGCTAAGTTCGTTCCGCAGTACTAGAAAGGATATCGGGGAGAGTGCTCGTGAGAATCTCTCCGTCTCTTGGCCGAGGCTTTCTTCTGCGCGCTGGAACTTCCTAACGAACTTGCTGCTCCTGGAGGAGGAAGGGCGCGGCGCATCCTACGAAAATCGCGAAACTTCGTTGCGAAAGTTTCCGATCGAATGGATCGCGCAGGTGTTCGCGCGTCGTTCTTGTTCGATGGCGCGTCACGATGTTTGACCTCGATACAAATTTCTGACAGAAATTGTTGTTCGACGCTGGTCTTGCCCAACAACCGTCTTATACAGCTCTTTGGGCAGCCTTGATCCTAATAAAGCAGGTTCGCTGTAACGTATAACGTACGTGTAACGTATTCGAGTTACGGAATTGTTTCGTGAAATTTGAAAGTACACTTTCACGCTGATTTGTGCATGAACCCTCGTACCGCGGACGAGTTTTATTGGTTATGCAGACGCGTCCTGAGAATTCTATCGTATTGAAAAGGATATGAAAAGAAAAACGAAAATTACAGAAATATTTCGCTAGCTAAGTTTGTTATATAGTTGTCGACAATCGAGGCAAGAAAGGCAAGACAAGCAAGGCTCGAATAATCGTATCTCCTCTTCCCAAATCGTCCATTTTTCTGCGCAATCTGAGCGCGAATTAGAGAAAATTGCTGCATACTTGTTCATCGACGTATCCAGCAGCAGTGTTAACAATTCGTGATTTACGATAAAACGGTTAATAATCGCCGTACAATCTTTGAAGAACGTGTAAAAATGCTTGACACTGTTTCATAGAGGTGCGAAGAAGGCCATCGTCGGTCGACAAAAATAATTAAGCTCGATAATTAATTAACACGGGGAGCCATAAGTGACTTGATACCGCGGAAAACCTCGGTTGTAGCCACTTATCCGTGGGATCCCGTCATAAAGCAAGCTTAAGCGAGAGTTCCAACGAGGTCCGGCGTATACCCCTCATTATAACCGAAACATGGTCGCTGGGACGTGTCGTTGAAGGCGGTTCGCGGCGGACAGGTTTCGGCTTACCCATTACTTTTTTAATTATCTCTCCCCGTTCTATCATTACAGGCTCAACGGGCCGATCTTAATCGCCTTAAGGGCCGGCGTAGCGACCACGGAAAACGATCTGGACCCGTGGCTCCACCGGCTGGAATATAGCAATCCGCGAGAGAATGCGCGAGCGCGAGCGCGATCGCTATACATATAGAAGTTGCTTGATCTGATTATTTCGTGTTTCATTAAACAGTTCCTATCTCTTTCTCTCTCTCTCTCTCTTTTACTCTCTCTCGCTCTCTCTCTCTCTCTTTTACTCTCTCTCGCTCTCTCTCTCTCTTTTATTCTCTCTCGCTCTCTCTCTCTTTTACTCTCTCTCGCTCTCTCTCTCTCTTTTACTCTCTCTCGCTCTCTCTCTCTTTTACTCTCTCTCGCTCTCTCTCTCTCTCTCTTTTACTCTCTCTCGCTCTCTCTCTCTTTTACTCTCTCTCTTTTTCTCTCTCTTTTACTCTCTCTCTCTCGCTCCCTCTAGCTTCCTCTCTCTCTCTCTCTCGCTCCCCCTCTCTTTCTCTCTCTCTCTCTCTCTCTCTCTCTCTCTCTCTCCCCCCTCGCTAGCCCTGTTCTCTGTCGTCTTCGGCGCGGGCGGCGATCGAGCTTGGAAAACTTTCGAGATTACAGGGCTGCCAAGCCACCCCGCGCCAACCCTTGTCAGCCGAGGACGGCGCGAGGTGACTCGTAGGAAGCTCTGCGACTGGAGGTTGTTGTCCCACTTTCGAACTCGACCCTCGAAGACGCGGATATTTGGATAGGTAAATTAGAAACTCGGACGTGGGCTCTTCGGTTGATGTATGGGGCCTGACAAGCTTGCCTCCTATACCGGGTGCAAAGGAAGGTACTACGTGGCGCTATCAAGAAGAAAACGGAATCCATTGGTTTCCACGCGACTCGCAGTGTTCGATTTTGTAGCCATTATTCGAATTCTTTCGAATAAATATTTATCTCGGATAATTACCGAATGAATTCGTTTTAGTCGAATGAATTTTATTCGAATAGAAAAGAGAGTTAAAATATGTCGATTTTCTAGTTTCGCTCTCATAAATTAAATCATTTCGCTTCGACGGGAACTTTTGGGGGCCCATTTTCGGCACAGGCCATGTACGATACCCCTGAAATCTGTAACGGTTCCATTGAAACACTGTATCTGATAGAACACTGTATCATTATGATGTTAACATTTAACGTATCAATTTCTGCGAACGGGAAAGGAACCGAATCTAATTTGGGGAAACTCTGCCGTTGTGTCGCGGCAGCAGAACAGCATCCAAGGACGCGTCGCCGACGCGTTTACTTTTCGGCAGTCGGACAACGAATGATTAGAGAAGAAGCCGCCACCTTTCGGTGGTCGGAAGATTGTAGGCGCGTCGTGTCACGAGCACTTAGCTTCTCCGAGCGGCAACAAGATTAATCTCGCTCGAGGGTTCGACCAAAGACCCCCCGTTTCTCCCCCTTTTCTCGAGCATCCCACGACGTCGGCCATCCCACGGCGGCGAGAAACTTCGTCTTCCTGCTGGTCCAATCACGTTTCGCTTTTTCTTCGAACAAGCTGCTTCCTGAATTCCAAAGGCTGACCCCGAAGAATCGACGACGTCGGCTCGTCCTCCGTGGCTCGTATATATTCGCGGCGAGTATCTGATCGCGATAACGCTGCGAAACGGCCGTTCTATCGTTCGGCAGCGCCGGGGGAACTTCCCGCCAGGCGACGAAATTATTTTTAGGGGCTCTTCCGAGACGCCGTTAAATCAAACCTTCCGCCACGCCGGATTAGGAGAACCGAGTCGAGACCCCTCCTCTCCCCCCCGCGGGCGCGCCCCGGTCTCGGGGCGCAGACTACCGATAAAAATTTACATCCACTTTTGCTGCTGTCGCGCCGTTTCGATCCGCGATCAGGAACACGTCTGTTCTCTCGGCCGGGTGCTTCGCCTAACTCGGGCGGTTAAAGTGCCGACAATGGTCGAGCAGCGCGGCTAATTCGTTACGAGGGCGACTACGTATTTATTGGTTACAAATAAATGCGAATAATACATGCGTGGAGAAAAGAAAATGTATGAATATATACATCAATAACTGATAAATTAAATGAACTTACAACAAGATAACAAATGCCGATAGTTGTTATAAACTTGTGTGAACGATGCAAGTTGTAATAATCTTGCCTAAAATCCGCAAGAACGTGGAATAGGAGGTCTAAATGAAGTCTAAATACCCATTAAACATATGTGGAGAAAAGAGAATGTACGAATATATACATCAATAACTGAACTGATAAATTAAATAAGCTTACAACAAGATAACAAATGCCCTTAGTTCTTATAAACTTGCGTGAACGATGTAAGTTGTAATAATCTTTACTCTACTTCCTAAATTCTGCAGGAACGTGGAATAGGAGGTCTAAATGAAGTCTAAATACCCATTAAACATACGTGGAGAAAAGAAAATGTACGAATATATACATCAATAACTCAACTGATAAATTAAATGAACTTATAACAAGATAAAAAATGCCCGTAGTTGTTATAAACTTGTGTGAACGATGTAAGTTGTAATAATCTCTACTCTACTCCTAAATTCCGCAACAATGTGGTCTAAATGAAGATCTAAATCATCATTATTAAAAAAGTTATCATTAAACTTGTTGAATTTGATAATCATACGATTAATGCAATTACAAAAAAGCGATCGTAAATCGAAATCAAGTTTGATTTACCTGTTACTAACACAGTAATTTCTCCCGGAAATATTTCATATTTCCGTGAAACCGTGAAACATCGTCTAAAAAAACCATTAGACACCGACGCGAGCGAAAATGTTCGCGAAATTGCCAACCCTATTTAAACATTTCCCCGTTCTCCGGACGTTCCAATTTGCTCTCTATCGTTCGTCTCGCGATTGTATCAACAGAGAGACGCGGCGAACGTGAAATTCAACTGTCGCCTTAAAACCGGCCCGGCGGAAATGTCAATTTTATCCGGGAATACCGCGAATCCGCGCCGATCGGCGACGTTAATTAAATGCGCCGTCTCTTAGGAACAGGTCCCGATGCGGCTGCGATTATCCGGCCGCGGTTTTAATCTCGCGCGAACGTCTATCAGCGGCACCATCGACACGGTATCGCAATTTATTGCAGTTTCTATGAACGGGGGCTTTCATCGCGGCCCCGCCGCGAACGGCCGAGAACAAGTTGCGCCCCGTTCGCAAGTAGGACGCCAAATATTCGGCTAACGAAGTCGCCGGATATCGATGGCCCCGCAAAAGTCGATCGCCGAGCAGTCCCAACTTGCAAATTGCTCGAATAGCTACCCCTGCCCATGATAATGGCCCGGCATCATTATTCGGTCCTCC